ATCTACCTGACTTTAAATAGTAACAGTTCTTGACCTCAGTAAGCTACAAACACAAATTAGTAGGGATGTAACGGTATCAGAATTTCACGGTACGGTAATACCTCGGTATGAATGTCACGGTACGGTATTTATTGAATCATTTACAGGAAAAAACAAAACTTATGAAAATACTCCAAAAAAGTGCCAAAAGTGTCAATGACATACAAATTAGCCATCTATCTGTAAGCTTTGAAACAGGAACTTCAATTTTAATAACAAAAAAAATATTAAACCATGTAAAAAAATAAAGTTTCAATTTAGTATTGTTGAAAACTCATCACATTCAACATTTAATCACTCACTCAGTTAGATAGAGATGGGTTTAAAGGAAAATTATCTTATAAATATAATCTGGTAAAAGCTGGTATCTCTGGGTATTTAAAATGTCCCCTGCAACAGAAAAAAAACCCCTCTCATTTGGGACTGAGGTTTCTGGGACAAGAGAGATATGACTTGGCCCAGGTTGACAGCAGTGGGTAACGTTGTGCATTGTCTTTCCCCCACTTGAGAGGACAAACCATGAGTAAGATAGAGGTCTCATGTCTGCATCAATCTGAACAGTGTGCTGACAACACCGCTATTCAGTACACGCGCGACAACACAGCTGATAAGAACTTGCGCGACAACACAGCTGATAAGAACTCGCGCGACAACACAGCTGATAAGAACTCGCGCGACAACACCGCTATTCAGTACGGGCGCGACAACACAGCTGATAAGAACTCGCGCGACAACACCGCTATTCAGTACGCGCGCGGCGACAACACCCGCTTTAGAGTTTTACAGCTCTTTTTCATCCCCGCTTCTAGCTGCACACTCCATTTCCGCATTACTGGATCTGTAGCGGCAACAGACCGCAAGGGATGATGGTCAAGCATGGGCTGATGGGAATTGTAGTTTTCGCTACCTCCCGTTCGCTTCATTCGCCTGAGAAAATTTTCTCAGAAGACCTATAGTTTTACTGAGTCATGCGAGTTCGGTAATATCGGAAAAAATTTATATTGCGGTATGACGGTATTTACAATACAGTTACATCCCTACAAATTAGGTATCATTGGGAAAAAGACACTTTGGGCTTTGCAGAAGTTTCATGCTCAAAAACATGAAAGTTATACATTGTGAAGTCATGAGGAAAAAACTGCATTGTGTTCAATATCTGTTTTTCCAAACAAACACAGGAAAACATTTATGTAATACCCTAAAAAAATATGCCTTGAAGGCCAACTGTCTCATGAGTTTATATTTCAAATTTGATGAGGAAAGCATGCAAAATAAGATTTCTGTAAACGTTTTTTGAGACTATATCGGTGTTCCTCTTTCCCTCACCATCAGTGGCTTTTTGACAAAACTGACCTTGCTAAACTAACAATATAATTACATTAACATTAATAATTGCTGAATAACTTGGTCTACATTCACAGTTCTTTGGAAATAAGACACTTTGGGCTTTATTATCCATCATCTAGAGTTTGTAATGCTCAAAATTAATAAAAAGTTATACACTTATAAAAGATCCATCAATGACTCAAACCAGCGACCTTTTGGCTCTGAGGCGAAAGTGCTAATCATTTAGGCACAATACTTCCCTTGACTGACTACAATAACTCATTAAAGAAAAGAATAACGAAAAAAAATCAATACTTCAAATATATGACCTTGTGAACCTTTATATACTGTATACAGTTCATTTGTCTCTCCATTATGGAAACAGCTGACTTGTACTGCCAATCACAAAGCAATCAAATGTGTGCTATTACAGCAGTGTGGTAACGAAAACAGACAGATGGAAAATAATAAAACAATTTGTATAGGTAACACTTTATTTTGATGATCCATTTGAGAATAAGACTGTCTGCTTAATATCTGTTGATACTGACGTTCAACAGACATTTAACTGACTATAAGAAACTTTGCAAGTACATGTCAACTTGCACTAACCCCAACCTAACAGTCTACTTATAATTTAATGAGAATTAGTTGGTTTGTAGATGCAAACAAACGGACCATCAAAATAAAGTGTGACCTTTGAATGCTTTCTTTGAACATGAAATAGATTATGCTGAAACTGAAAATTTGAGATTATTTCATCACCCCGGTCTTCCTATTTAATGGCCTACAACCACATGTTTACCATAAAATAGGATCTTCAACAATGTGGTGTTAAAAAATTAACCCCTTTTTTTTTTTAGCTATTCCTATTCCGACATTCAACAGAATGACAAGTCAGAGGGTTTCAGAGGGTTGTCTTGCCTGTTTCCATCATAGATAACATGTAATGTTGTTTTTCTGCCACCGCAATGTGCATAACTTCAAATTTGTCTATAAACTAGACAAGGTTTAACTAATCTTTCAAGCTAAAGAAATAAGTTTGAAAGGGGTGTGACTTCCCTGCTGTAAATTCCGGCTTAAACCAGCCTAAGCTGGTTGGCTGGTTTTAGCTGGTTGACCAGCCTGGTTTTAGAGGGGTTTTGGCCATTTCCAGCCTGGTCTTACCTGGTCAGGCTGGAAAATGACCAGCTAAATCCAGCTAAAACCAGCTTGACCAGCTTGACCTGGTTTAAGATGGACACAGCTGGTTTTAGCTGGGCTCCCAGCCTGGTTAGGCTGGTCAAGCTGGATTTAGCTGGTCATCTCCCAGCCTGACCAGCTAAGACCAGGCTGGAAATAGCTGGAAACCAGCCTGGAAATGGCCAAAACCACTCTAAAACCAGGCTGGTCAACCAGCTAAAACCAGCCAACCAGCCTATGCTGGTTTAAGGGGTTTTTTTCAGCAGGGTTAATATTTACCTTATAACTTACCTTCTATAATACGGGTCTCAAAGTGCGGGCCTGGAGGCCATTTCTCCCTCTGGCCAGCAACTGACGTCAAAAATGTAACAAGATTTGGACCACCAAAACATATCATTTTGAACAACGATCATTGTCGTGCAGTCGTGTCTAGCCACTTGTGATTTTGACCTGCCACCTAGTCGACATTTAAAGTACTGCATTCAGATTAGTTTTTCTTAAATTTTTTCTCAGTGTACGTTCGATAGTAACTCACATGCGTTTTAATTCTGTGTGCGTTTTAATATGACCGTAAGTGCTCTTTTTTTACTAAAGCTCTATTTTTGGTTAATATTCAAGGGTCTGTTGATTATTAACACTTTTATAGCACTTGTGTTTTGTTGTACAAACACTTCATGGCTTACAAATTATGCTGGTGGTGTAACAAATATGATAATTTTGCTAATATTCGATTCAAATGGTCTCATTTAATAGATTTTCCTAAAAGGAAAGACTTACATAAAAACTTTGTGCATTAGTAAAATTGTACTGCTAGTTGAACTGAACTTGTTAACGTAAATGTGAATATGTGCATACTTTTCCTCTCTTTGATGTAGTTTTACAAAAAAAGAAAGATATCGAGAAGAATAACTGCCTGAAAAGTCTCTTTTTGCTGTTTTTATGCTATTGGGACAATACAATTGGTTGGGACAGAATAATAATTATTATGCCTATTATTTTTTGTATTTTCATAGCAATTTTAACTAGCCCTTCAATATGTACAAACAATAAACAAAAAGCTAGAGTTTTGCCTGCATATTATGTTGAAGGATGACTGAGTGTGTCTAACGCTCGGCCATACACACAACAACCACAGATATATTTGATATATTTTGGCCAGCGGAGAAATTAAAATGGTCATGTCCAACTGAGTCTGGTTTCTCTCAAGGTTTTTTTCTTCACTCTCCTATCAGTGAAGTTTTTTTTCCCTCTCCGCTGTCATCTCTAGCTTGCATGGTTCAGGATCGGTAGAGCAACGCATCGATGAATTTGCTCTTCAGTGTTTGGACTCTCAGTAATGACTTTAAACCACACCGAACTGAGCTAAACTGAACTGAACTTAAACACTAAAAACTGAACTACCCTGATCCAGTTACTATGACCATTTATGTGAAGCTGCTTTGACACAATCTACACTGTAAAAGCGCTATACAAATAAAGCTGAATTGAATATATTTCAGCAGCTGATGTGTGACACTGCAGCTGGAAGAACATCCGCTGCGTAAAAACGTGCTGATAAGTTATCGGTTTATTCCGCTGTGGTGACCCTGGATTAATAAAGGGACTAAGCCAACAAGAAAATGAATGAATGAATGATGTGTGACACAATAAATGTGCTGATTTGTTTTATCACGAGTGACAGATAATGCTTGAAATATAAACGTCATGTCTGTTGACTTAAGATGCATCAGTTATGTCAGGTTTCCACTTTTTTCTTGTGCTTGAATGTTAAAACGGGCTTTCTATGAAATGTCAGTCATTGAAATGGCCCCCCGCCAATTTGAGCTTGAGACCCCTGTCCTGTATGCTCAAAACAATCAACAGGCGCACATTTACAGAACCTAAAAGAGGATATGTAAATGCCCTACATAAAAAGCTGTCTTATGACAGTCATCTTCTCCTGTCTAACATTACGAACATATGTAATCCTTGTCTTTGTCCACCCCCCCTTCTCCTATCCCTCTTTCTCTCAATCAAACACTGGTACAGAAATAGCCCTAACTGCAGTGACAACTGAGGTGTAAAATCTAAACTGTTGCTATGGGAAAGAGAAGAGAATGGGCTTGACTGCTATCATACTACCAAATTAATAAGCAGTAGAAAGACGAGCTTTGACACATGCTACTGTATCAGCAATACAGATTACCATGTTAACAGAGTTTACTGGCACAGAGGATGCTATAATTAGAGCCTGAGAGAGCAGAACTGTTTCCAATTAGAGCTCTTGATTAAATCGGCAAAGTTGCTCTTGAACGTGAAAAACGCACATTTGAATAGCAAATGTGAACATCTGCGATGCTAATTAGCTGGTAGCCTAAATAAGGGACAAATTACGTCAATGGAAGAAACTGAGGATTTTGCTTTGCTCTGTTCACATCGCAAGCCAAATTAATCCCTCTCTTTCTCTCCTCCAGGATTTTGCTGACAGTTGTGGTGATATTCCGTATCCTAATCGTGGCCATTGTTGGTGAAACCGTCTATGAGGATGAGCAGACCATGTTTATCTGCAACACCCTCCAACCGGGCTGCAACCAGGCCTGCTACGACAAAGCCTTCCCCATTTCCCACATCCGATACTGGGTCTTCCAGATTATCCTTGTCTGTACACCAAGCCTGTGCTTCATCACCTATTCAGTACACCAGTCAGCCAAACAGCGTGACCGCCGCTACTCCTTCCTCTACCCAATAATGGAAAAGGACTACAGTCGTGAGGGTACGCGTAAACTACGCAACATTAACGGCATTTTGGTGCAGCACTCTGAAAGTGGCGGTGGAAAGGATGAACCTGATTGCTTAGAGGTAAAGGAGATCCCAAATGCTCCAAGAGGCCTCTTGCATGGCAAGAGTTCAAAGGTACGCCGACAAGAGGGGATTTCTCGCTTCTACATAATCCAGGTAGTGTTCCGCAATGCACTGGAGATAGGTTTCTTAGCAGGGCAGTACTTTCTATATGGCTTCAGCGTTCCTGGCATCTTCGAGTGTGACCGATACCCCTGCCTGAAGGAAGTGGAGTGCTACGTATCCCGACCCACTGAGAAGACGGTCTTCCTAGTGTTCATGTTTGCAGTGAGTGGCATCTGCGTTGTGCTGAACCTCGCTGAACTCAACCACCTCGGCTGGAGAAAAATCAAAGCTGCCATTCGAGGTGTCCAAGCCCGCAGGAAGTCCATCTGTGAGATCCGCAAAAAGGACATGGCCCACCTGTCACAACCGCCAAACCTGGGCAGGACCCAGTCCAGCGAGTCTGCTTATGTTTGATCTCCATTCATCCAAATATGGCGTCGCAAGGAGTTGAAGAGTGGAACGCTGAAATGTCAAGTTGGTTAAGGTACTTGTGTAAATGTTTAAAATGAAGAGAGAGGGGGGGTGGGCTCAATATAGCCATACTCTTTCCCATAAGCCACTCCCTCCCTCTTTGTGGCATACAACAACAGTATGGTGGTAAAGAGAAGAAATGTTGGTGATGTGTCTAATTGGGAACAAGGGTGACAAGGGGAAGGCACTTGGATTCTTTTCTCACACTCGGATCTTGAGGAAAGAGGAAGGATGAGAAAAGGAGAGCACACCATGACTACTTTTCTCCCACTTCCCTCAACCTTAGTCACTGCGAGAAGAAGAGTACTGTTTAGGTTTGCTCTCCTTGGCAGTATATCTGCCTAAAACAAACAACTGGTGACATATAAACATTGTTCCAGCAGTGGCACCCTCACTTTGACACACGACTGAACAAGCATTAACATCTTTTTTTTTTATAATCTCTTTCTGGTTGTTGTACAAGCCTAAGAGATGATTATTACCTTTGCGCAAAGTGTGCCCTTCCACCAAGACACCCGCGATTATGTGTTCCAGTCAAGTATTCCTCCCTCTTGTGGTGCACGAATGTGTGTTTATATGTATGTGTGTGATCAAAGTTGAAAGAATTTCGAGACTGCAGATTCCTTCGTGTTCATTTTCAGTCACATGTTTTGTTTTTCTCGCAAAGATTGGTGCCATTGATTTAAACGACTGTTTATTTCAGATTATTACTTAGATAGATTGTTACAAAGTTAGAATATTAATCTCTTTTTGGGAATGGAAGCCAATTCCGCTGAAAAGAATTTCCATGCTGGTCCAAGGGAGGCTTAATAGCTGGTTATTGCTATTATAACTGGTGGAGCTGCCCACACTTTTAAGCAGAATCAAAAACAATGAAATGTTAGGTAACCAGCATGGCGATTCTGGTGATCATGATTGACAAAGGTAATATTGTTTGTTATGATCATTTTTATGCATGGTGGAGAAACCTGTAGCTAAAAAAAGTGACGTTTTCATAAGTCATATTTCTATCAGATGGTATCTTTCAAAGGCATGTTTACAAAGCCGTATCTGTTGAGATGCAAATTGATGTTCAGTGTTTGTTATTAGGAAAATGAACAATTTAGAGTGTTTTTCTTAGCTTCTCCTTCTTGTCACGTGTTTATCGGCATGCCTTTGTTATTAAGAAAAGATGAATCTTAGAAAAAATACATGTATGCATTGCACTTTGTGGGATGGGAAGAGTGGATAAAAGGAGAAACTCACTCTGGGAAGGACATTAGCGGTGGAAAAGTGAGCCTTTCGAAAAAAAAAAAAAGATCAATTATAAGTTTGTAGGTACTGTATGTATGTATATGTAGCTGTGATCCACTGTGTGCCTTTGTTTACACAGTGTGGGTTAAAGCAGGGTGTAACTTCTCTAACAAAATCACCCAGATAACATTGAGTCGTCATTCAGCAAGCACTAGCACTAGCTTAGACCCACTATGGAAAGTACTTGTGCCTACACAGCCCTGACACCACTCTGCAAGTGCACATGAACCCAGTGTAGACAGAACACAGTGCAGCTAACACAGGACAGCTAGCTGACGTACCGCAGACACAGAAAACACAGATGCAGAGAGAAAGAGAGGAAACTGCAGAGGCCCTTTATAGGAACACAATGTGTCCTGATTTAGAAAAGAAAAATACTTTCACTGGAAAGTGTGTTTATGTTTAGCATGACATGTAGTTTAGCCACAATTCTGATTCAGGCCAGAATTTAGTTTGAGGATGGATATCGTTGCTCACACATCTAAATTCAATGAGAGGTATAAAATAGGTCACGTTTGAGGCTCGCAATGCCAGATTTGTTTTACTTCAAATGTAAACAGCTCATAAATGATTCGTAAAACCTTTCTTACACAACCTTGCTGCCTCTGAGATAAGAACCAGGAATTCTATGCTTACATTTACAGTCCAGAATTAAATCTCATCAAGTGGCAAATTTGATTGATCAGTACATAAACGAAGTTTCTCGCTAGTATATTAGGAACCTCAACAATGATGAAGTCATGGTTCAAGCCATTCAAACTGTGCAAATAAAAATTTAGTTTATTAAACTATTAGCTACTGGGTTATTATCTGCCTATTATTAAAATATTTGCTGTGTATAAATACTAATGAAGTATAATCTTAGGTCACACTTTATTTTGATGGTTTGCTTGTTGAATTTAATTTACATTGCACCCTCATGCCAACTAATTCTCATTAGATTATACGTAGACTGCTAGGTTGGGGTTTGGGTTGTTGTAGTTAAGTTGACATGTACATTTCTTACAGTCAGTTAAATGTCTGTTGAAGGAGCAGTATCAACATGTATTAAGCAGACAGTCTAATACTCATATGGACTATCAAAATAAAGTGTTATCCAATCTTGTTTTACACCCCTAATACTACACTCTAAAAAAATATATATATATTTTAAAGTTTATTTTTTTAAATATACGGTATATATTTAATTTTACGTAAAAAAACGTTACATTACGGCTGTTAAATTACAGAAACATACTGTAAAAAAAATGATATTAAATTACAGAAATTTCCCTAAATTTACATTTCTGGTATATTTCTGTAATTTAATATCTGGTATTTTTACAGTAAATTTCTGTAATTTAACAACCATTATTTTACGGGGGGGTTTTTCAGCACCCCAGCTGCCGGAAATAAATAAAAAAATTATGGATTTTTTTTTTTTACAGTCTACCCAGTACATGAATTCAAAAATGACCATTCTAACTATTACTAAGCAGCAAATTAGTAGTTAATTAAGCTAAAGTTCTTAGTTAATGGTGTAGCTTAAAATAAAGTGTGACCAAAAAGTGTTGTTTTAAATTGATTTATATATTTAGAGCTCAATAGCTTACCCAGCTATGACAACTTCCGCTGCTGAGAAACAAGGAAATGTGAAAAGGGTCTATTGTGCCGGTAACATTTTACAATATGTGTGCACTAATATGCATTACATAATGCTTACTGTAGCTAATGCTGAGTAAATGTATGTCTCATACTGCATCAAACAACCGAACATTCTATATAATTCTGGATTAAGTAATCAATAAATTGGTTTAAACGAAATGAGTCATAATTAGGCCCAAACAGAATCTGTGGACTTTTTTGCTATTTCTTTACAGAATTTTGTAAAAAAAAATCTGTGGATTCATGCGAAATGATTTTCCGTCACTAAAATCTTAATATATGAAATAAAAAAATAATACCTTTTGAATTTTTTTAATGTTTATAAAGCAAATCTTATTAGATCCATATATTTGGTAAACAAAGCAAGTCTGTCATATAATCTATCTACCAAAACACAGAAAATATGACTTTACAAACTATATTGTAAATAAATCATATAAATACTTTCAGATTACTCAATAATATTACTAAAATTAATTTAAAAACTGAATAAATTTAAATTTACACAAATTTAAACAAGAAAATAAATAAAGTCAATGATGGGCTACAAATCTGCAGAAATATATGGATTTCTGCGCTCCCAGATTCCGCATGGGCCTAGTCATAATGTATTAATTGTGTCATTGTGGTTATGGCTTCTGAATTAGTTAGTTAGTCCTGTGCTTAAATGAGTAAAGCCAAAACACAATGCTTCCTTTTGTAAATCTTTAGCTAATGATTAATTAAAGCAATTAAAGGACAGCGGAAATCCCTGACCTTGATCAACAAATTTTCACTTTTAGTTAATAATATACAGTTAAAGTCAGAATTATTAGCCCCCCTGTTCATTTTTTCTCCTAATTTCTGTTTAACGGGAGATTTTTTTCAACACATTTTTCAAACAGAATAGCTTTAATAACTCATTTCAAATAACTGATTTATTGAATTTTTGCCATGATGACAGTAAATAATATTTGACTAGATGTTTAGGCAGGTTAGGGTAATTAGGCAAGTTATTGCATAAAGATGGTTTGTTCTGTAGACTATCGGAAAAAAATTGCTTAAAGGGGCTAATAATTTTGACCTTAAAATGTTTTTAAAAAAATTTAAAACTGCTTTTATTCTAGCCAAAATAAAACAAATAAGTCTTTCTCCAGGAGAAAAAATATTATCAGACATACTGTGAAAGTTTACTTGCTCTGTTAAACATCATTTGGGAAATATTTAAAAAAAGAAAACAAATTCTGACTTCAACTGTATGTTATAAGGGATTAAATACAGTTCAAAACATCTGGCTATTGACAGTTTATAGATCATTTAATCTTTTAATAATATATAATGTTTATTGCTGATTTAGTAATCATTAATAAATGATTCACATCTCTGTGAGTTGTGCATTAACTGTGCATTCAGCATTATTTAATGTATAATAGTGCCACTGGGATAACATTGTGGCTACATGTGGCTTTCCTGACACCAAAGTTTAAATATATATTTTGCAGATATAATAATCGGGACCAGTTTATAGTCATTATTGTGTGGGCTAAAAACAATATGCACCCCTATTCTTAGGAACATGTCTCTTTTTTTACACTGTACACTCTCCTGTGTTTGAGAATTCCAGTTACTTTTATTCAGATCTTAAAAAAGGAACAGTGACACTACCAAAACCATAACCTCTGTAACTATGCAGCATAAAAGGGCATCTTTTACAATTAAGCGTATCATTTTCAAGTGCAGTTCAGAGATTATGAAGATTGCTTCCCCAAGTGAGAACTTCTTCATGTGCTTGCATTAATCCACTCTTCTCCTCAGTATATTTTTATAAATCCTATATCAAAGTTTGATTAATAGACAAAGAGAACAATGTTGGATTGTTTTTTATTATTATTATTGTGTTATTATTTATTCCAACTTGTGAATTGTGTATATGTGTGTTTTTCTTTTATACAGTTCTGTAATACGAGGGTTAACGGTGATGACATGGGGACCAGAGTTATAGTTTAAACTGAAAATGTGGCTTTTCTTGCCAAAGTTCTGTTATATGCAACTAAATGGGTTTCAGTGGATGGGGTTGTTCGGTTACTGTAAAGCATGTATAACTGACATGGAATGCACGTTTTTGTTGGTTTTGTTTTCTCAATTTTTTATGAAACAGAGTAGCAGGGACAAGTAAAGGCATGGTTAGACTGAATTGGGGGTTTTTAAGCTTTAATGGGCCATTGACAAATTATTTTAGGGTTTTCAGAACTTCATAGACTGCAGTCTACACATATATATGCAAAGCTCCAATTTCAGCACAACGTTTTGAAATGAGGGAAATGTTTTTTATTATCACATGCAACACAGTCACTGCCAGACAGTTTTGTATAAAATTATAATAATAAATGTTTTGCCAGCAAAAAAAAAAAAAAGTTTCAGTAATCTACCTGCTTGTTTAATTGACATTATGATGATACTCCACTGCCATACACAGCAAAATCCTCTGAGTAAAATTTACTCCGTTTAGATTGTAGGGATAATTTAGTTTGAACCCAAAGAATGACCAGTCTGTCAGATGACAAAGAGCCAGAGTCAGAGATTCAAATCAAGTTAACTGAAGATAGTTTGCAGCAAAAGCCAGCTTCAACACTCGCAATGAGTTTCTTGCCCGCTCTGCTTACAATCACAAAATAAACAACAATTATACAATCTACACGAGACCAGAAAGGGTGTGATTCTTGTTAACTGTTATGCTGTGTTCACATCAGGTGCGGAACGCACGGATACATCGCGATATTCGCTTGTAAATAGACGTGTGAACATTTTGAGTTGATCCGCTTTATTCGCTCGTCAGACTCACTTCACAACTGGCGCGGATTCGCATGATGGGCAGGGCTTGTGCCGGTGATTCAAGCTTCATTGCTAAATGGCTAACATAGATTTTATTGAGAAAATAATTGCGTTTATGTGCTTTATGAAGGCTGAAAAACAGCGTCAACTTGTTTGGAGTCGTGTCTGAGTCTACAAGATTCATTCAGGGGTGCACCTACACTGCAAAAGATGCTTTTCTTACCGAGATTTTTTGTCTTGTTTCTAGTCCAAATATCTAAAAGTTCTTAAATCAAGAAGAGTTTTCTAGACAAGCAATGACATGACTGAGCCGAGCCCAGTTTGATGAACTGTTGTCTGTGCAGCAGGAGGATTTTCCCCCGGGACACCAACAACAGGCGCTACATCATAATCACGCCCCTAACAAGAGCAAGCTCCTGATTGGATGCAGTGCGAAAGTCCGGTGTAGTTCCGATTTTCAAACTTGAGCATTTTACGCAAATGCACAACACTCAACTCGTACTTCATTAGTGTAAATCGCATCATTTGCGCTGCCTCAGTCGCGCGTATCACACCGCAGGATGACTAGTCATACCTTTGCATTGACTTAACGTGTAAAACACTCACGGTTGACTCTTCTTCCTCGTCTGGTGTGAACAAGGCGTTACGATTGGTCATGGCAAAGATAGACAATTCTAAATATGTACGTCAATGCGGGGTCGTATCTGAGTCCAGCTAGGGATGGCGACAGGAGGCTTGGGTCAGGTCGCCAGTAGACAGTTAAGAGCTGGTCTCAGACCAGTAGAACTGACCCATCGGATGCATATACACAGGCAAGGGACAATCTGTTATAAAAACCTAAGGTTGTTTCTTCGTACTCTCACCTTTCTTACCAAACTAGTTCAAAACTGGTAATAACAGCATTAAGGCTGCCATATTCTTACTACACACAATTAACAAAGCAAAATTAACACGTAATTATAATATCAAAATCACTTTAGACAGTATTAACACATAGCAATACAAATAGGAAAACAGTTGTATAAGTGTTTTTAATCATCAAGCCCTTCAGTTCTACTCGAGGTCTGACCTCTGACCTAATTTGGTGGCTCCTGAAAATAGAGTCAGGCAAAAGCACTGAACATTCTTATATTAAGCAATGTGTAAACTTAATTCATAATTCAATCAATCGTATTAATAAAGTAATAAGAAAAAGGATAAATGTTGATCCATGCTGGGGCGGATTTAAATCCATCAAGTATTTGGTTCCTTTCTAAATTGGTTCAAGCTACTCAAGGTAATGAGACAATGAAAGGATGAAATAGGTGATGATTGAGCACTGATGAAGATGAACAAGTGCTATTGATAAACAGAAACACAGAAGGGAAACACAAAACTACAACAGACTTCAGTTGCAACCTTAGATGAAATCTGCTGAAATATAATATATTGAATCTCTCAAAATCTCAGCAGAGGATCAATAAGCAACTCCACAAACAGCAGCTTTACTTGTTACCAACCTGTTTGCCCTTATTTAAAGATGAACTAAATTCCCTCTGAACTTAGTCAATTTTACTTAGTGGATTGTGCTGTGTAGTCCATCATATCTAATTTGTTAACTGCTGATATTTCATCAAATCATAATGGCAATTAAATACCCAGAGAACACAGTGGACCAATGCATGTGGGGGGAAATGTCTCAG